CTCCCCCGGCGGGAGCAGGAGGCCCCTGGGGAGGGGTCCTGACTCCCACGGCTAAATCCCCCAGCCTCTCCCCGGGGTTTTATTTCGCAGCCATGCCCCCGAGGGGTCCCTCCCCCGGGGGTCCCGGGTGCCAGCGCGGCGGCCGGCTCCGCTCCCGGGCGAGTCGGGCCGTTCTCCGTGGCGCGTTGCTTTCTTTTTAACTGATGTTTCCTCCCGGGACAAGAACTAAACAAAACGAGTCCCGACGACCAGACCAGGGCGAGTTTGGTGCCGCAGCCAGCCCCCAGCAGCAGAGCAGGTAACCTCCCGCCGGGACCCCCGCACCACTTGGATTTTGTTGTCTTTTTTCCCCCGGGAAAAGTGCTCAGAGGCGGCCCCGGGACGCGGTGGCGGCAACAGCCGGGGGGTTCTCCCCGAAACCAAGCCCCTCGGTTTAGTTACTTTGCATCCTGGTGAGACCTCCTGGGTAAGGAAATCCTGGGGAAAGGTTTTTTTCTTTTCCCCTGGGAGAAAGGAAAATGGGCTGCAGAGCTCGGGGCTGCCCGCAGATACCTCCCGCGGGGTGGGCAAGGGATGCGGGACAGGGATGGCATTTCGGGGGCAGACGGAGGAAGCGGGGGTCTCTCTATCACTGCAGAGGGGCTGAGCCCACGGCTGAAGCTGAAGGAAGACACTGGACTCGGAAAGCCTTGCTGAGTTTCAGGGAAAACCTCTTCAGGAAAACCTCATCCTGCGCTCCAGAGCTGGCTGGGAGGAACCGCAGCCCCCCATCCACGGCATATGCTGATACCAGAGCTGGGGGGTTGCTGGCTGCTTTATCGGCACCAAAAAAAGCCGTGGGCTTTCACACCGTCCTCACCCATTGCTGCTGAGCATCACCTCTAAGCCAGATAGATGCCCGCCCATGGAGAGCCTGGCCTGGAGGAGGTAAGGGAGCCGCTGTATTAGGGTGGGCTGGACAAGCTGGGGGGGACTTTTATAGCCAGATCACAGCTTTATATGTAGCTAGATGTCCATGTCCTGAGAATACAGGTGGAAACATCTGTGCCATTAAAGCAGTGGCAGATCCCTCCCCATATCCCGCAGCAGAGTAGAAGTCACAGCTTTCAACTTTGTAATATGGTTGAAAGTATTTCCAATAGCAGAGTGAGACAAAAGCCTTTTTCCACAGAGGCAAGTAGGTGATCTCGACCAGGTTGTATCATCCTCCTCCTTTCCTTTTTAAACTTGAAAGCCACCCAGCATTTGGAGAAGATTCTTCAGCCCTTTCCTTTAAGCATTTCCTTGTGGTTTTATTCTACGGTCCAAGTAAAAATTCACCAACCAGGTTATTTCCCACCATCACTCATTCCCCTGTTTGTGTCTGTATGTGTTTTTATCGTCACTTTATTTTTCCTGCAGACATTTGTGGCTCTTCTTCTGCTCCATTCAGGGCTCAGGCAGGGAAGCGTGGGTCTAACAGAGCCGTGTCAGGTCCAGTCCTGATCTGCCACAGACAAGCTGCTGTTGGGGTAAACTGCCTCGGTTTCCCTTCTGCCGAATGGGGATAACAACAGGAGTATAGATGCTGGCTGGAGGACAGAGAGCAGGTGAGAAAGTGTGAAATGCAGCCTTAGAGAAAGGTGCCTTCCTCCACAGAAGGAGAAAAGCAAATCAAGGGCACGGCAGGGACCATTAATTCACCTTGAGAGAGCTGAGGGAAAAAGGATGGAAGATTCATATTTCTCCCAGAACATGCACTCAAATTGAGCGGGTATCTGAATGCAGCCAGTTAATTTCAGTCAGAGGATCTGACTTTTCCAGTCACTGGAGAGCGCGGCAGGACAGATGCCCAAGAAGGGAGTCACGAAAGATCACTCCAGGATGCACAAAGAAAAATAACCCCCTGGGGGAGATGGAAACCTTCAGCTCTGCAGACATCAGCTGGTGAGATTTTCATGTCGATGCAAGGATTTTAATGTATTCTGATCTAGCAAGAATGGGTTTGAGAGGGAAAAGGGTTATGGGGTGCGAAGGAGGAACAGCTTTTCTCATTCAGTCATATCAAACAGCCCTCGCTTATTACTCACTTTCTCCTTTTTTTATTGGTCTAAACATCAGAAAAGGAGTTGGAAATGAAAACCCAACAGGATGGCTGGGTCTGGAGCTGCCTGCACCTAAGATCACATCTAGCAAAGGAAGAGACATCTCATCTGGACAACGGGGTATGAAGACCCAACTGTGTGAAGTGTTGATAGTCCAAGGCCCTCATCTCACGTCATTTTACACACGGTGGGAGAAGCCCTGGCCCCATCTCAGGCTGTGGGCTGGCTGAGACTCCAGCTGGTGAGTATTTACTTTAAAGCTGACGGGACCATTCAAATTGCTCTTAACTTTACCGGGTTAGGACCCAGATGTCAAACTAATTTTGACAGACAGATAAAACAGCAGGACGGAGGCGGGCAGGAGCACACAGGCAGGAAACAAACTGTTTTACTGTTGAATAAGGAAAGCCAAAACAGACAGACTCCGACTCCCACATATGCTTTATCACTCAGGGTACTCTTCCTGCCCCAGATCTTTTATAAAAAGGTGGAAGATGATAATAAAAGACGGCTACCAAACAAATGCAGTCTGGGTTTCTCTTTAAAATGAGGTGATGAGGAGGGAATAAATCACATTTACTAAGTATGTGTAAGTTTTGCCAGCATCTGCTGCCTTCTGCATCAGTTCGTCCTAACTGAGTACGCAGAGCAATTTCAACTGCTCTTTTACCTCCAGCCCCTGAACCATTTTGCACTAGAGCTGCAGCCTCCTTTAGAAATGTCGCACGCACAAATCACTTTACAGCATGGGTGAACTTGCTTCATCACAGAGGAACAGGGCTGCCATTGCACCTCAAAGAGCTACTGTTTCAAGCACCCTGTGCGCCCAGGCAGGTGTTGCATCAGGGGTACCCAGGCCACATCTCCAAGCTGCTCTTTGCAACCATGTGGGTTAGAAAAACATGCATTTGCTTGCCCCAAAACAAAGCAATCTTCTGCTAAACCACATGCGGTATGGGTGTAACTGGCGGGATGTTCATGTTCTTTAATGTGGCCATGCTGAGAAACCAGTGGTTTTGCCCTATCTTAAGTGAAACAGCAGCTGCACTGGGGAGAGCTGCGTTTGGAGCATCCCTGTTTGCAGAGCCCTCCCCTTAGCCATGAAGCAGAGTCATCTGTATCTCAGCCATCTCTGGGATGTGCAAGGAAGAAGAGGGGGTGGGGGCCTTGGGAGCGAGGACCTCTCTGGTTCCTCTCCCAAGGACTGCCTCAGTGAGCAGTCCAAAGCATCCTCCAGCCTCGAAGCCAGCAATAGCCTCTGGGGGATGCTTCGATAATACATGACCTGCTGATGGTGCTTTTAGCATGGCCCTGAAATACCCTATCACTTACTAACAACCAAACATTTGTGGACTTCCTTGGCTGAAAGCTGCATGAGTACCACAGCAGTCGGGCCCATTCCCACCCTCAGCGCATCCCTATCTGAATCCATCCATGCTCCAAACTCCCAGATGGAGACCCTCAGAAGAAGCTTGAGAGACCCTCCCACCACAGCTACTCTGTGATGGAAAGGCTTCGCCACCAGAAGGTGAATCACGTCACTCACATGAGAGCTCGGTACATTAGGATGAGGCAACTACAACTAGGGGGAGTGGGGGGAAATCTTTTCCTCCTGGGAGATTTCCCTCATGGGATGCCACCTCTCAGAGAAGGAACGTGTGATGAAGAACAGCAACGAGAACAAAACAGGAGACCCGGAGGGTCGACCCCGTGGCTTGTAACCGCAACTAGCACACGTGCAAGAGTCGGGGCACCACGCTGCTCAGCTACAGGATCAGCAGCCATGCAAAAACCGGCTCGGGACACCGGGCAATGACAGCCTGGGGTCAAAGGAGCCACAATTAAACACCCTTCCTGAGCTATTCCATTTCTTCAAGACGCAGGAAGCAGATAACCAAAGAAAATAAATTCTTCCTGAGAACTAACTCTTAGAGTCACTAATGTATTTGTAGGAAATCGTGCAGCAAGGTCCAGGCAAAACCATTTCTTCACAAAACGTATAGGTAAAGCATTTACCAAACTGGGGAACATCAGGGAAAAATTCCTAAAGAAAGAACTTTGCGAACTATTTTTCACCTTTGTAGGGAAGTTTTTTTTTCCACTACAACCAGTCAAGATTTTTTCCCCCAAATTAATTTTGATGTAAAACTTGTGAAGTTTTCATTTATCCCTATGGAAAGAAAGGGGATGGGAGAAAAAAAACCACTTCCTTTTTTGTTGTCTGTTTACCAAAAATAATATTCTTAACAGAAGCATCTATTGGTTTAAACTTGAAAGAAAACAAAAAAGATTCTAAGGGACTTGAACTATTGAAAACCATGATTCAGGGGCAAAATTTGGTTTGGAGTTTTGGAGACTTGGCTTCTATAAACTTTGGTGCTTTTTTTGTTCAAGACAAACCTCAATATTTGGGGTGAATAAATATTTAATTTTCCCTTTTTCTGGAGCAAAAAAAAACCCCAAAATTCCTGCCCCAGGTCTGTACCTCATGGCCAAAAGCCAGGCCTAAGAAAAGGCCAAGCACAAGGGCCAGGCTGAGCTGGTCCCTCTCCGTGGTGGCTCATCTGTCCTGCCTGGTGGCTTCAACACATTGAGAAGAGCAAAGCATGGGTCATGCACAGGGTTAGTAAGGAACATTTAAGTATTTGTTTTTATAAAGCAATATTAAATACTGTAGAAACCCAAAGGGACTGTTACGATCATTGTGATACAACCACAGCACAGGTCCATAAAACATCTCTTGGTGAGCATGCCCTACAAACATGCTGCTCTGAGCAGGGCACAGCTTTGACTGTCCTCTGACCATCCTTCTATCCTGGAAGGATTCAGGCTATGCAGCAACCAGAAGAAACCATCACAAAATTACTGAGGACGACCCCTGTAATAGCAAACCTTCACAAGAAAACTCAGTCTCCTGCTTTCCAACTACCTCTGATTGTCCTTAAAAATTGTCCCTTCCCAATAAAACACTGATGGACACTGGACAGGTTTCCCAGGTTTTGTTCACAGGATGTGAGGTAGGTGGTTAAAGCTCAGTGCCCTGCAGGGTCATTCTACAAGGCTCGTTCATGGCTGCTCCTCAGAAATTTTGATGCTTTCACTGTATAAATAGGCAGCCATGTCCATGGGAGAAGCCTTTGCAAATCCATTTGAGGATCATGAGAATGGGACAGGAGCAGGCAGGAAAACAGCCTGGACACAGGCACTGAAGCAGGAGCGTTTTGTGCACTGCCCACACTATTTCCTTCTCCCTGACCCCACACGTTAGCCCAAGCCCTCCCCACGCTGGGAAGCCCTGCCTCTGCCCCAATGCTTGCTACCTGCCACGCGAGAGGCATTTCTGCTGCACAGACGCTGTCTATACCACAGCTCCAGCTAGCCCCCCAAACCTGCCGAGGCCTGCGTTTTTCAATGAAATCGAGGAACTGATGCCCAAGTGCCCCAGATGCTGCACACCAGGGCTCCCAGGCAAGGACTTCACTGCAAAATGTTCCCTCTTCCTTGACCATTCGTCACTCTCTTACAACTACCAGACCAATTAGCTGCAAGCCCAGGCAGACGGTTAAAATCCCACCTTGCTAGCTCACTACCCGCTCTCTTTTTCCTCTGTTTAATGCTTCTGCCAGCAGTGATTTCATTCACTCCAACCATAATAGCCTTTTCCCTCCCCTTAGGCCAGGAGCACACCTCTGTCATGGAAAATTTCCCTCCGTCTCGTACCTTCAGCCCTATCTGCCTGCAGCTGGGCTGGCAGGTTGTTTTTTTCTCGCTGCTTAAAATGCCTTTGAAACAAAGGCTCTTTAATCCCCCCAGCCTAGCCAGGCACCTCTGTCAATCCCCTCCTGGTAGTGCAGACAGAGCGCGAACCTCAGCAGGAGGTACAGGGCACCCCACAATCTGGTGGGACCAGGTGGATGGAGGCTGGGTAAGACATCGGGTGTCCTGAGATGGTAGGGATGGAGCAGGGCTGGGAGTGGGGAGAGCGTCCCAGCCAGGGTGCAGAGGTGAAGCCACAAGATGGTGATGGTGATCGGGGGGGAAGAAGAGCAGAGATCCTCCCACCCAGCGCACATGCTCACTTACTAGCCTAGAGAGGGGTCTCCAAGGCCCACAGCACTGATGGGGAGCCAGGGGCTGGCAGCCAAGCACAACGCCTCTGCTGGGCATCCTAAAGCTTGGCAAGAGAAGAGGCAAATCCAGGAGCAAAACACCTACCTTCAAATTTCCCAGACATAGAGGGGGTGGCCATTGCCCAGCCCTTCTGCCCAAAACGAGAACATCTCGCCACATGCCTGTGTTGGTGGAGAAGCTTGTTGTCTGGAAAGGAGGCAACTTGGCTAAGGTTGTGAAGACCTTATCTGCCTTTGAAACCACTACACAAATGACCAATAACTAAAATTTCATGCAATGACTTCAAAGTGCGTGTGGCACAGGAAAAGGGTCTCCAGCCATGACAGGCCAGTGTTCATCACATCATTTCCTCGTGAGAAGGCAAGAGAGATGATTCAGACTCAAATCAGACTGGACAAGTGTGAATCACAGTGTTTGTCTCACATTCCTCCTAGCCAAAACCATCCCTGCCTGGTGTTACTTGGGGCTGGGAGAATCAACCCAGACATGTCTTTATTTTGGGGATCCACAGAGATTCAGTTAATTCCTTTCCACCTGCCACTTCTGAAGTGCTGTGGACACCGGGGTCCTTCAGCTGAGATGAGAATCTCCATATCACAGCAGTGTTTGATGCAGCTAGGCAGCTGGCACCAGCACCCAGGTTCTGGGTGGTTTCTGTCAGAGCTGAGTGCCTGGGGAGAGCATCTGGGGTTCATCCATCACTGCTTGCCCTGGAGTAGCTGTTCTGGAGGACCACACCACATCATTTCTGTTTCTGCAGTGGTACCCCAGCTGCATCCTGGCTAGTCAAGATGTGGGCTTTGCTGAATTGCTGCTGTTTGGATGAGAAACAGTTGATGCCAGTCAGCGGTATATTTGGGGCAGCTCTATGACCTAGGGAGGCTGGTTCCCACAAAAGCAGCACTTGCATCTCCCCAGCCCCTCCAAGCAGTGTGAGCTATGGGGACCTTGGCCTCTGCTGGGGCTCCAAGCCCCTCTCACAACTCTTTCTGTTGGCTTTTTGTCTTCGTGCTTGCAGCTCCCATGGCTGTCCTGCAACTCATTTTCCCTGCTCACAGTCCTCACTCCAGGCACTATGACTATCACTGATTTGCTCATCTTGTGGCAGGAAACCCCGCTGGTCCACACAGGGGTGGACTTGAGAGAGGTCCAAAGCACCCCTACTCCCGGTCCTGCCTCTTCTCTGTTCATGTTTCCAGCTCAAAACTACATTGTAGCCTGGACCAGAAGGGTCAATACGATGCTCGAGAGGAACTGCAGTTTTTGATAACATAGCAGGCTGAAGAGGTCTCAGGGTTCATCTACAAGGTTGGCCATAAGGCCAACTCCATCTGGTCGTGTCACCTTGAGTATAAACAATGAGGGAGATGGATTTGCACTTGAAACCTGGCTTGGATCCTGGTTACCCAACAGGATAGGTGCAAAACAGGACATTGACCTCCCCCACCAGCTGAGCATGGAAAAGAGCTCAGCCCACACCACATCTCAGCGTCAAGGAGGGCCCGTGAGCATGGAGCAGAGACCACACGATGTCAGCCTCAAGCACCCTTCTTTAAAAACATCCAATACAATACGCCTTTGGGGAAAGGTGAGAAATTATTTTGCCCATTTCTAAATGGGGATAGCAAGTGGAGCATAAAGGACTGACTCATCTGGAGTAAAGCAGCAAGCTAGTGGCATAATCAGGACCAGAGTTCAAATACTCTCTGATGGAACCAAGAAACATTCTCTTGTTGACTTTGCAGACACATCTAATTAGTGTCTCTGGAAGCTTTTCCCCACATACATGATATTGTTTGAATTACACTGCATGTATTTCATGCGTTTAGTTTTTGTTTGCATGAAACACGTTTTTACCATGACTCTGTAGGATGGAGCTGATGGCTTAACCATACAGGTTAAGTTTCCTCTGAACATTCATAATTTAGCTTTTGAATAGGAATGGACAAATAATGGACTCTGTGGTGGAGTTTCCTGAATGAAACACCCATGGTGAAACAGCACAAGAACCTTCTTTTTCCACTGCAGCCAGAGCTTCTGTATTTGTCTCACCACCTTTTCCTCTGCCTGCTCCATCTGATGGGCTTGAGAGGAGAGGGGTCAGCAGCAAAAAGGCTGTCTGTGAAGCATGGCAGGCCAGCTGAGACCTGAGATGCTGAAGTGCCAGGGGAAAGGAGGGATTTCTCCCCGAGGGATGACCAAGAGGATGTTTTGTTCTTGCAGAAGAAATGTTGAATGAACTACTTCAGCAGAGCTTCGTGATGGGAGCCAGGCTGGGAGGGAGGTGGGGTCCCTTAGTGCTATAGGAAGAAACTCCCTTCGAAATGGCATGAAATCATCAACTAGCAAACAGCAGTTGAAGGTATCCAGGAGGTAACAGGGGCAGTCCTGATACAGATTTCTGCAGGCACAGGAGAAGTCAGGAGGCAAAACTTGAGCATCAACTGCTCCCTTCCCCTTTCTTGGTCAGTTTGCTGTACTACATACCCTTCTTTGGAGGATGCTCAAATGATTGAATGTTATCCATTTTCTTTCCACTAAACTTGGAGTGCACAAACTTTGCACAAATTTTCCTGCCTTGTGTCTCTCTTAGTAGGCATGGCATATCTTCAAAGGCCTAAAAGATCAAAAATGAGCAGCTTGTCCCCCACCACACAGGGAAGGAAACTGAGGCAGGGGGAGACCCAGAGGAAACCTGGAGCAAGCCTGGGGGTGGGTCAAAAAAGAAAGAAGTCAGGATCTGGTCGTCATTTTTCCAGCATAAAGAGTCTGGGAGAGGTTTGTAAGAGCAATTTAGGAATGCAGCTCCCATCCAAACCAATGAGAACTGGGCAGTTGCATCCTGCCATAAAGTTTTTAAAGAAAAAAAAAATCAACAGCAACATAAAGCAGTCCTAAGAGGCACAAACATGTTCAGGCAGAGTGGAAGCCAAAAGAACTGTCTTGAGTACCAGATGAACAGCACATTGACACCGAGATATTTGAGATACATACTTAACCGCAGGGCTGAAGGGGTTAAGAGGAGCCCTGGCAAGCAGCCAGCAGCATGCCAGCACCCACCGGAGATTTCAGCAACTTCCACCACAGAATTAGCTGGTTGCAAACAGGTCCTAATGGCTTTGCCTTGTAGAGCCACAAAATCCAGAGGCTGACTGCTGCCATGGGCTTGCTATTCCACTGCTTAGTCTCCCCCTAAGGAAAAGGGGGCCAGACGCAGCCTCCAGCAGTCAACAAAATCCCAGAGGATAAAAGGTGAGCAAAGGAGGATGGAAGGGCTTTTCAACAGTCAGGTGTCTGTGCTGTAAGCATCCTGTGGGACCGAGGTTGGCCTCCTTTCCAGGGCTGCCAACCCTTGTGTT